TTAATAGACAATGAAGCGATGTTCACGCGACAATGATATCCGTGTGCCATTGTTAAATATTACTTATAACACTGACTGTCATATGGAATTTCTTTGACTTGGTTTCTTCCAGGGTATAAGAAATATGTAGTATAATATGCCTTGTGATTTTGTAACAAGAATAAACTTTTTAATTTATTGTTAAATCCTATTGAATCAACGCAACCTATGCTAGTTATGAATTGGAGAGTGCGCATACAATTCTGTTACATAAAATAACCTGCGTAGATGGGAGAGTTATAGACTATAGTGATAAGCCGGTGTGGGTAATGGAACTAAGTATGAAATGTTATTGTACCGGACCGAATGAACCGACTGTTAATTTCCTGCACCGCGTATACACAAACAAAATCTTGTATTAGAATAGAAAGGTATTGTAATTCTGACTTAAATGTGACAGTAACATTGCAGCGCTAAACATTTTCTTTAAAGGCAAGGTAATAAAAAAATGTGAGAGCAGTGTTGGCCTAGTGGCTTCAGCATGCGACTCTCATAGCTGAAGTCGTAGGTTCGATCCCCGGCTGTGCACTAATGGACTTTCTTTCTATGTGCGCATTTAACATTTGCTCGAACGGTGAAGGAAAACATCGTGAGGAAACCGAGATGTCTTAGACCCAAAAAGTCGACGGCGTGTGTCAGGCACTGGAGGCTGATCACCTACTTGCCTATTAGATTTAAAAATGATAATGAAACAGATTCAGAAATCTGAGGCCAAGACCTAAAGAGGTTGTAGCGCCACTGATTTTTTTTTAATAAACAAAATTAAGTCAGTATCTGAGTTAAGCTTTATGAAGTTTTATTAGATATATATTTTTATACCGAAATTGGTCAATTACAATTTACAAGTAGATATAGACTTTAGATACATATTGTGTACGGTATATATATGTAACACGTAGCGATCCAGAAAATTTTGAACTTATTGTGAGTGGCAGAGTGCAGGCACTAGAGCTTAAGGCCCATCCTTTACTCACTGGACCAATCAAGTAAAAGGTTTCCCGGGCGCGAAGATTTGTCGACGACAGTGGGGAGTGGAGGGCATTGTGCAGCGTCACTAACACGGCCTTCAGAAATGAAGAGCGTGACACAAGTTAATCACACAAACACACAAAAGGATTAATTAAGGAAGTAATTTCTATCCAAATAACAATTAGAAATACAATAAATATTTGTTCGCAAAAGTATTAACTAACTCTATATCTTTATTGTTCTTGGTGTCATTAATTATAAGTCATGGTTACTTCGACAATTAAGTCAAAATTATTTTGTTAATGGACGCCTCAAGCCTAGTAATAGAATATCCGCTACCATTACACGATATTCATTAAAATACAAGATATTACTTTTAAATTAATAAAATCGTCATGATCGTAGAACAATGTCGGATTTGTAACAAAACCAAAACCAATATCCACTTTTTGTCATATTTTGATACTACATTGACTAAATATTACGGCTACGTTAAAAAAATCCATGTATTTTAAATTTCAAATTAATAACATACAGTCGGTAATGTGACGGATTCGATAGACGCTCATAGAAGCATTTTTCTAGAAAACTGTGTAATTTAATGTTATTATTTTTATTTTGTTTTAAAACAAACCCTTTTGTTTGCTTGTATGCCAATTTTCATAATAACAGAATATGAATTAAAAAAGTTATGACAAAAAAACTAACATGATTATATTATTTTGAAATGGCTGCCCTGTAAAGTTTACTATATGTCAGAACCGTCACTATTCTACGACTATGACGAAATAAAATACAGTATAATGTTTTAATTATGATTCACATTAGAATTGGAAAAGTTTGTTTACATGAATCTGTTTTGGAACTTTTAACTAACTAGAATATCAAGTTTTGCGGTCAGTCCAAGGACGACCCACTGTGGTTGAAGAACTAAGGGAGAGCCAAGTTATATACCCCCGTGCGGTTTGGGAATGTAGGTTTGTTAGGCCTATACATAGAGATCACTGAAAAAACTCTAATAGTTATATAAGCAAAAGCAAGTTTACCTCAATTTAGCTTTAAATGTCTGTCTATATTCATAAGAATTACTAAATAGTCGAAAGAATGTTGACTATAGAAAATAGTAACCTACTTCTTTGTGAATAAGTAAGTTCCAGTTAAAAAAACATGCCTACAATTCTCATCGTTTTCGTGGGAATTATTAGCAAATTGTAGTATTAAATCTGGCGAGTTATTATTTCATAAATCTTTATGAAATAGATTAGTATTCCCGACTTGTTTGTAGAAAATTGTGTTCTCGCGTAGTTCATTAAAATTACAAGAGCGACCCATCGATATTGTTTTCCGCTTCAGTGATCGTTTTAATACAGATTAAAAGAGAAATTATGTTCAGTAATAAAATTATAATATTTATATAGCCATTAACAGCTTCGAACTCATTAACGTTATTATGGCTACTCTAAATCGCAACATTTTAAATTAAACCAGGACTTTTCAAACACAGATGACTCCTGTGTTTAAAAATTCCTTTTATGTAAAGAGAAGGAGGGCTATATTCTCAAGTTCATGTTCTTAAAACTACGTCTCTGATTTAAGAAGTTATTATTTTGTTTTCATAAGACGCTATGAATACTTATCGTAGCAGCAATAGAAACTAAAGTTTTCTTATCTGATTAGAACAATTTAAGCGCAGTTATGGGTGTTTTTATCAATGAGAGAATTAGTTGACTTCGTATAAATTCTATTGTAGTTACTTATATTACAAAAATAATCCGTACAATTAAATAAATAAGAGGAGGATAATAAGAGGGTTGTTTCTCATTTATGGGATTAATTTAAATACCGTAACCAAAAATCAATGAATGCGACAATATTGTTAACTTGTTAGAAATTGTTTCGTGTTTCACATTAACGTTAACCACAAAACAGTTTTTGAATGGGTAAAATTTTAAATTTGGAAAGCCCGTTATGTAAATTTTGTAATAAAAGCGCAAAAGGTTATTTATAATATTATTACATCTGCGTCATATCTAGCTTACTCAGTGAAGATTATTCTGACTACATATACATTATACACACATTTAAAAACAGTAGATACTCAGGTGAAACGTATTCATGAGGAATTTGCTTTAATTGATAATTAAATTAAAATGATAATTAAAAAATGTTAAACATACTTATATAAAGAATGATATAATTTTTTGTTAGTTTCAACTTAAGGGACAGACTTCTAGACTTTATATCCAGATTCAAATCTTTGAGTTTGTATTTTAAATTTCCCTAACTAATAAACTACTCCAATATTTTATACTTCAAAATAAAAGACAAGACGCCAATAAAAGAAAAGACAGTTTGTTAAAATTTATTTAGTTTTTACGTTCGTTTAAATTCTTAAAATGTGAAAAGTTCGATTTCGTTCCACGATATTTGATCCAGTTTAAAACTTTTCTCTTACTTAAATAGTAAGAGAAAAGTTTTTAACTGGAGTTAAGGAAGTTTTTTTTAAGGATTCTCCATTCTTCTGAAAGACAGATCCACTATGTTTATATAATATCCTCACGATATAAATCCCTTTACCACAAATTAGAAACATACTAGTCTACAGTCTACGAAAAGTATAAAAACGTGGCTATAATATTTATCTACGATAAAAAAAGATATTATGTCCAAATTGTAAAAAAAACCCTTTTATTTTTTTCAGTCTGGTTAAATTTCATTAGTTTCTAATTATGATATACATAACTTTCTTAAATTCGATAATTTTGGGAGTTTTATTTTTAATAGTAGGTAGTAATCTCTTATATAATAGTAATAATGTTTAATAATAATTATAGTTCGTTCGACGTTCTACTCGCCAGTAATACTTGCTTAAGCACAATGTATATTAAATACAAATTTTGTAATTTGTAAAATATTTGTATTTTGTAAATCTAAACTAATTTCGTTTCGCTTTTGTAGTAGCGTAGAAAATAATGTAGACTTCGTAGAACTTGATGCCTTTGATATCGTAGTACAAATTAAAAATATACTCATTAAGTGAATATTAAAATGACACTTTGTTTTCATTTGCAATTTTAAAAAGGTAACGTTTAATAATTTCTTCTTCTTAAGAAACTTTAAGAATACTTTACCACTTTTATTTTCATAAGAAGGTTGAAGGTACAGAATAATATACTTTTATTAAATCGTGTTAATTAAAACACCAAGTCGCTCGACAAAAAGAAGACCGTAATCGAAATGAAACGAAATTTCGAGGTTTGCGCAACTTGATATTACAGCATAAAAATAGATGCAATCCAATAATTAATACTCCATTCGTACAAAAGTGATAACATATATACTTTTTGAAATAAGTAACATAGTAAGTAAGTAGTGTAATGAGTCGTTTCTGTTTATAGATTGAAGTATAAAGGCTGCTTTAATCCCCTAAAAATGTATAAAAATACAAAATACTTTATTATTTTATATCAGGGCTATCTTAATATATAAGCTCAGAATTAAAACAAAATAAATATAACAAATAATCTCAAAATCAGCAAAATCTGTTGAATCGTTTTACAACAGTCGTTCATAGATTATATCAGGGCTATCTTAATATATAAGCTCAGAATTAAAACAAAATAAATATAACAAATAATCTCAAAATCAGCAAAATCTGTTGAATCGTTTTACAACAGTCGTTCATAGATTACATCAGAGATGGCGTTATTTCTATCTTTAATTTATTAGAAAAAATAGTATGAAATGGAAGTTCATCTTTGTACACAAAAATTTAGCCATTCATTAAAAAATAATCTTGAGTTTTTAAAATTTTCCAATATTTTTTTTTGGTTTTAAATCTCAAGCAATATCTCAAATCTCGTCCTACGATTTTCAATTATGGATCAAAAATTGTAAACTGTCACTCATTTCTCAGATCCTCGAATTTGACACTTTCCAAGTCTAGTCATTTGTTTGTGTTTCTATCGGCGCGTGGAAAAATATTAATTAAAATGTCTAACAAAAAGAATAAGGTAGAGAATGTTAGTGAAAGTGAAGAGGAACAAGAGTTAGATAGCGAGAGGGATTCCGACGTTGATTCCGATGGAAACTATGTCGGTGAGAAGGTAATAATATAACCTATAACGCACATGTTCTTTTAACTTAGCATCGTGTTAAACATACGACACAAAAAGAGGTTTTTCTAAAAATACTAAGCAGGGCAGTGATGTTTTCGTCTATTAGGTTTTCTTAAGTTAGCAATATTACTGTAAAAATCGTTTTTTAACGACAGCCAAAGTCAGGATTATTCCCGATGTATCTGAAAGTATCAGTTTTCAGTTATGCGTTTGTATGAAGATTTTTGTGCTCGTAGGAACTCCAAGCAGACTTTGAAGGCAGGAATCCAGAAGACTGTGATTACCATGGAATTAAACAACTGCTAAGGCAGCTGTTCTTAAAATCAAATGTTGATCTGGGAGCACTAGCTCAAATCATTATTTGTATGTATAAATTTATTTAAATATACTTTTGAAACACTTGCTGTAATTAGTATTGCTACAAAACTAATAATTTCAGCACAAAACTATGTGGGCAGTGTGGTAAAACAATGTTTAGATGATGGTATTGATGATGAAGACGATGATGTTGGTGATGGTGTATTTGGAGTTACTACACTTATCAATATCACCAAAAAAAAGGTAAATTTACTTAAAAATTCTATTAATTAGATTATTAAAAATTTGCTCTTAGGTTTAGGCTTCACTTCTACACCTTTAATTGGTCACATGATTAATTTAACTTTAACTTAGATATCAAACATTTTAGACAGCACTTAATATTTATCAAATATAGTGAAACAGTTCATTACGAATTATGGGACTTTACTTTCTTATCTAGATTATAATGCTTACAGGATGAGCAATGTATCAAACAAATTAGAGCTTTGCTAACCACACTAGCCAATGACAATGCTGATGAAAAAACAAAGACTCTAGTCAACAAGGTCTTGTCTGATGATGCTAGCCAAGTTGGACTAATCATAAATGAAAGGTAAAATAAGTCCCCTTACTGTACATTACCTTACATACATTGTGAATATATGTACATAACATATCTAGCTAAATTATTACTGGTTTATATCAAATATGCTGATTTATAATCAGTACAGGAAAATTGTAGAATTCTTATCCTTCTATATTAACTTTTTTTCAATTTCATTCAATTAGGTACACCTGTCAAGTTACATGTTGTAATCACATTGATCTACTTTCTGCATACCTTACAAACCAGTACAAAACAAACCAGCATCTTTGTTTGTTGTTTAAAAAAAAAAATTATAAAAATAGATAAAAATAAGCATTTACAGCAGAAGGTTAATGTAAACATTTTTTCTAGGATCCTCAACATTCCAGCAGCTATTAGTGTGCCACTTTTCTCCTCATTACAATCAGAGGTGGATAGAGCAGTAAAACGGAACATGCCTTATACATTCCAGTATCTTATATGGATTTGCAAAACTTATAAAACTATTGGTAGGTCAAAGTAATAATTATGTTTAATTTCATAATTAAATAAAATTATTTCATCAATGAACAACTTAATTTCTAAAAGTAATGTTATACTCTTTATTCCTTAATAGCATTGTTGCTAAAACTTGTATATTTATTATTTCAAAAATACTCTAAAAAAAATCAAAAATAATCATGGGAATATTTTTCCAGATGATGAATCTGATATACTGTTTGCCAATCAAGAAGAAAAACCTTTATTAGACGTAGCAATTGCTAACTTCGAAGTAGATGTAACTGAACAAGCAGAACTTTCTCAGTGGGAACATGAAGGAGGCGCAATGACACCATACCGGAAGGTATAACTCTAATTTGAATTTTGTTGTCCTTTAAGAATAGTCCTTTAAAAAATAGCAATGTAAGCTTAGTTGCTAAACATATATAATGGGCTTGTGATTTGAACACCTACTCTTACACAAATGAATTTTTCTGTGTATTTGTACATATAGGCTTGGTCTAGGATTAACTAGTTCTTTATAGAAATTAATTAAAGAAATTAGATGCTACAATTAATCTCTATAAGAAAAAAATATTAAAGAAACAAATACTTTTAAATTATGTAGTCTCAGTTAGAAAGGTTTATTAGAAATTCAAGTACTTCTATTATCAATCTTTTTGAGTGATAAAAAAGTTATTTAGGAATTTACGATATATTAATTTCAGGTACTCATATTTGACGGCAGCAAATTTAACGAACTTATAAGGCTCATGAAAGAAGAGGTAGAGAGTGTTTAAGTTAAGTTGCTGTTAAGTTATGCCATACAAATGTATCGTATTTTTCATATTTATAATATTAATTAAGTCTTAATAAAATGTGATGTAAGTTTATTACTGCATTTTTTATAATTATAATTACCTTTTTCTTTAAAAGAATTACTTAAAACTTGTTCTCAATATAAATTAGAAAACCAGCTGAATTGTGGAATGGGGTTGTAAATCAAAAGAATAATGTAACTGACAATAAAAACAGCATTTTCTTATAATAATACTTTATTTTGATATAAAATCATTGACCTTATCATAATCTTAACTTATTCTTAACACTAATTCTAAGTGATATAAATTTAAAATCATCTTACATACCTCGAGATTTAAGAATATGATTTAGCAATAACATAGGCGTCTTTCATCAAAAAATCTCTTAAAGAGCAAAGTCCCTTCAAAATCTTTGTGTTTTGATCCATTTTTTGTATGTCTGTCTCTGAAAGTGTCTTGTCATGAGCCAAGTATCCGTTGACGGCGTCTTCTGTCATCCAGTGTGCCGGTAGTTTGTGCATGTTAAAATGCGAAGGGTCTGGATTTGCTGGCATCGGAGTAAGAGATTTCTCCCATGGGGTTATGTACTTTTGCTCTGAGTGAAGACCTTCAATGTATCTGTGAAGATTATGTTTAATATTACTCTCCTTCATATTAATAATATGTAACAGTTCCTAAATTAATTGTGCTTATTGTACTGTGTAGAAAATTTAACAATAAATTTCAATGAGAACGATACCAAAAACGGAAAATTTTATCGTAATAAAATTGGCCAGCCCTACTACTAGTATGAATAAAGTATACATCTGCAGAAATAATTTCTATCTATATATATTTTTTTAGATATAATACGTATTTTAAGCAACATAATTGTTTTATTTGTTTCCAAACTCATTCTACAGTTAGTTATATACGAGGTATATATTCCGATTTTCTCGATACCATAGATAAAGTTATATTAGAGAAGATAAAAAAGTTACCTGATATATGTGTCGGAGTGTGTGACACGTTGCACCCTGGGTGGCGCGGAAACGAAAAGGGGCTCCAAGGCTGGTCGTGTTCCAGTGGGGGGCACTCCACCTTCGCCGCAACCCGGGCTTGGCGTGCTACGAGCCATCGGCGACATGCCCGAAAGAGATGCTAAAAAAAATTTAAAACTCATTTAAGAATTGAAAAAAAAAACTTCGAATTGTAAGCAGCCTTCGGTTTTTGAAGTAAAGTATAAAATAAATGTTCTATAAGAAATAGCAAGACAAGTTTGAATATTCCGGTAAAATCATATCCTAATTTATGCCTATAGGCTAAAAGAGCTAAATCAGGCATGATTCTTAATAAAAATGAAAAGGGGGCAAATTGCCCCCCTTTTTGCTTGCCCCTCCCCCCTTTGAACCTATTTCGAAGAAAAAATATTGTATAATGACAAAAAATATTTAATAAATGACATTTCTGTCAACTTTATAAATTGTTTTCAGTTACAAAACATAATCAATAAATTAATCGTCAAATGTAACTTAAGAAGTTAAATTTTGTAAAGGAATATTTACCACCAGGTGACAAGACCCCTGCACGTAACGTCGTTGTGTAAGCTTTCGGTGGCTTCTTCGTAGAGGGAAGAAAGTTTCTGCAAATAATAAAGTATACATACTTAATTAAGATAAAATGACACAGAATGTAAATTAATAAACCCGTACGGTAATTATGTAAAGACAGGCAAGTTAATAAAAACAGCAAAGATTTTTTGAGCTGGAATTTTTTTTATGCAAAATGTTTACGTCACTTTGATATATTTTATACATTTGTTCGGGATTTAGAAAGTTCACTTAAATCTATATTAAGATTAGGATTAAGAAATCCTTCAGTACTGATTACTTAATATAATAATAGCTTTTCTCAATTCGTACAAATAACATCAGTGAGGCCGCGCGGGTAAATTACTACAAAGAGCCCAGACATAAGACGTTGCCCGAAATGCAACATAAAATTATATGGAATTATCTGTATGTGACGTCACACAAATTTTCTGTAGACAAAGTATGACCGTTTATACACGACTATAGTAAAGCTACTGACAATAGGGTCACCCCAAAACCTTGTGTCTTACCGTGAACGTTCATGTACAGCCGTCAATTTTCCATTGCCCTTGTTAATGTGCAAGTCCCGCACGTGTCGTAGAAGCCTTGGCAGATTCGGGAATGGCGCCTGTCCCTTACGTACGCGCGTGCACGTTCGCCATAAACATGGGTACTCTTTATTCTCTGTAGCGTTCGCTCCGCTTCGGTAGTGTTGTTGCACGTGGCCGGCTGTAAGTGCGAATTTATCATTTTCTTTAAATATTTCCTTAAAAAAGGACGTGTTTGAAGGACATACAATGTAGCTAAACGTTTCATGGTGATGTTAATAATTTCTATGATATTGTTTTTTAATAATAGTTAAAAAAAAAACGGTGCGTGTACTTATGTAAAGTTATTTATGTTAGCGTAAGTTATACTTCTTTGGCTTTCTTTATTTTTTTAAATATTAAATAATTAATAATAAATATTTAGCGTTAATAATTTAACAATATTTAATATTTAGTATATTATTCAATTATTAATTTATATTAATAATAATTATTATTTTATTATATTATTAATTCAATTTAATAACTAGGTATGTTTCATAACCTTTTAACTAAGTAACAATAGGTCTTTGTGAAAAAGCATTGCTAAATTTCTTTGAAAAAAATAATAATTTTATTTGTTTAAAAGGTACTACAAATGTGATTATGGCCATTCAAAATTCTAGGCATAGCTGCTAACGTCACGCATATTCTATTTCTTTTTACATGTAGCTTGTCTTATTCCCATCTCGCTCACGCACGCTCAGCGCCCATACTGATAATTTTGTGTTACGGTATGCGCGCATCGTACAATTTCACTCGCATAAATTTTTCATAACGCGCCTAAAGAAGTATAACTTCAAAAGTTAAATCCTTGTTTGTGATACAAAATTTTAAATTACCACCTACTATTGTAAAAAAGCGAGATGTATTAGTTAGTACTAATAATTTTTAATATAATTCCGGTCGGAGAATGATCAGAAAATGTGAAAGCACCAAAAACAATACTTACGCTCCAATTTGCTTTTCTTTGTTTCAATAAATGTTCCAATCACTAGCAGCGTTAAAATTTTATTACGTTAGTACATTATAAATTGCACACATTTAACAAAATATCAAAAATTATATGGATGCGTAGGTACTTACTATTTCCGCCTTCCCCAATGCAATGTTCCATACAATCATTTAGGTCCTCAAACTGGCAGTCACAAGTGTCCCATGCGCACTCGTACGTCATTTCCATCGTGGTCTGAAACGTTGAGGAGAGAGAGATGGTTTATTTTGAGAAATATTGTTAATTTGATGTGTAAATGATAGAAAACAAATATAAATGTTATAAAAAATAGTATAAAATCTATGTCGTGGATCAAAGAATCGTTTGAAACGGTCAATAAATTAGTTGAATTTTCGCTAACCATATCGACTTTGATTTAAAATATTTTCTGTTACCCATGTCTATATAAATACCCGCAGTTTTATAGTAAAAATCAGCTCTAGTTTTTATGTCAGAATTCAATTCCAAAAATAAATTTAACTAAGCTCGCACTTTCGCTTAGATTGCCTAATATATGTTTGTGTGTGTGTTGCCTTCTACAATTATATGAAAAGCTCCTACTCACATGTTGAGCAAGCTCTTTCATCTCTTCTGCGAGTCTTGCTGCTGTCTCTTCGTTGCACCTGGCAGCCCTCTCTTCCCAACTCTGCTTCGTCGATCCCGGCAGGGACCGCCATTCGTTACCGACTATTCGAGATATTTCACCTGAAAACACAACCCATTTATTGAAACATAAAACCATTAATCTTACTTGGGATTATCTGAATTCTAATTGGTGACGAATCAGACATTTAATTATATAGAAGCTAAGAAAAAACAACAAAGTGCGTCAATAATTTGACCTTACCATGTATCTTATAAAGGTATTGTATGTATCTTATAAATATCTAATCTACGTTTACTATTCGTACCCTCGTTGAAATCTAACCTCTCGAAAAGGGCACACATAACACAATGTATGGAAATAATTTAAGGAACTGCGTAAATTAACTTACGTTTTTAATTGTCATGTCAGTCAAAAATCATTTATTCATATACACAATTGACACTTATGAACGTCAAAAAAAAATACATTAAATGCTTCTAATTTTACATTCACTGCCAGTTCTCAAATCAAGGGCGTAGAACGGAAGGGAAGAACTGGCAAGTCAGTTCATAATATACTGTAAGAAATAGTCTTTTTGTTAATATTTAATGTGATTTTTTTTGTGTATGTATTGTTTGTATGTGATATAAATGTAAATAGTTGCCGCACTGGAGTTGCGCAATACTTAAAAATGAACAAAATATGCATTCGAAATTTTTCCTTCCCTTTTCCTTTTTAACCGACAACATCAAATAATAGTTTCGTCGAAACCATATCGATTTTCACTGGAATTGGCTTTCAAATAAAATTTGAAGCAGGCTATTGACATTTTGGAATATGTAACACATGTGACTTGACAATTTAATTTGATGTTTTCATAGATTTGAAAGACTGTTTAGATTTGCAATTATATATCATTAAAATAAGCTTTTCTTTTACGGACAAAGCTACTATGATAACACATAGTTGTAACAATACTTTTCTTGGAATCATTTAAAAGGTCTTACCAAAAGTACATTCTGGGTTATTAGCGACAATAGCTTTGCGGACTTCGCTTGAATAAAGAATATATCCAGTGACAATCTTCTGCTTCTGATCTTTCTTCTTCTTGCCTGTTGTTGGAGTAGAGGAAGTATTACTCTTCTCTTGAGTTGGAGTTTGGATGAGAGATGGATTGTATGGATTACTATTACCACCTGAAAGAAATAAGTTTTAGTAACATAGTCTAGTTCCTTAACCAAACATTATTAATAAAAAAATATTGTTTTGTGGTTTCCTCCAAAATTTTTTTTTTAAATTGTCGTTATGTCTTCACTCTCTTATAAGATAAGTCTAGTTTCACCGTTTTGACTTATAGTATTCATCTCTCTCTCTTTCTCATCACAGCATAAATTTTATTTGATAGGAAGGAAGAAAAGAGTTCAATTGACCATTTCACTATTTATGGTAAGGAATTTTAAAGAGTATAAAAAAAGAGTTTTTAAGAGTATTATCATATCTCAAAGACAAATTTCAATTGTTTCAGTAAACATTAACTTACCAATTGACAAGGGCGTTGCGGGTGAGGCTAAGGAATCGTCGAGAGAGTTCTCCAAAATCATCTCCACGTCCTGACTGCCTATTGTTGTGTTTATGAGATTCGTGAATTGAGGCTTTACGTCCTGGAATAATTCATTAACTTTTTACATATACAATGTATACTCCATGTAACGTCTCTCGATTTAACGACAATCCCCCTAAAGCGTCGAAATCACTCGGATTTGGTTGGTTTAGCTTGTCTTCCATACAATGATACACTCTACATAGCATTACACCCACCCTCAATAACGACAAAAATTAAATACTAAACAGTACTTTTTAAGTTGCCGAAATTTAAGTTAAAACTTTATTTTCCAAGCGAGAAATAAACTCGACTGTCGGTACTCGTTATACGTACCGAACTTTCCAAGAAATCCGTTCTTTTTGTTTACAAATTCCGCTTGCTTGCATGTGCTTTATCACGAAGATGCCTCAATATCGCAAGATATGAATTAAATAAGTAAAAAAAAATACAACCTAAGTACTGGTACAGTACCTAAACGACAGACAACGCAATAGCGTTCAAATAAATTGTTTTTATATAATTTCTAACACTAGTCTGAAATAAACTTTCTTTTTTTAATACAGATTTTTCTTTCCGTTTAACGGCATCTTTGTAACGTCAAAATAGGCACAGTCCCTTGAGTGTCGTTATATAGAGTTTACACTGTATTTGATACATTTTTGAAGTAAAAATGTTTTTATTCTAAAATTGCTGGAAACTTACGCCTTCAAAAGACTAAATAGAATGAAAATATGCATCTGCATTTCATTCTATTTAGTCTTTATAATAAAATTAATTTAAGAGCAATATTTAAGTGTAAACGTCACTAACTAGTTTCGTTAAATATATTTATTATCATGTCTACCTACCATGGAATCGGAGCTATGAGGATTGTACGTTTTCTGCGCAAACGCAACTGCCGTCGTAACTTCTTGCGCTGATGCAAGAGCGGGCGGACCCAGCGATTTGGAGAAGTAGTATATCTGAAAAGGTTAGTTGTAAAATACTGTATAAAATTATATTAGCATTATTTTCTATTGGAATATGAATTAGCAGTGTTGGCCTATAGTCGTATTTTTAATTAGACGAAGTCAACTGACGTTTACGGTGTTGTCAGTTTTTAATGAAATAAAAATAGTGTTGTGACAAAGTAAAAACCCCTGAATTAATGATCGGTGATTGCACTAATCGCCGCGCCGCGCTTTGTAATAAGCCGTCAAAAAACTGATTGTTGTTACATAGTACTAGTACCTAACTTATATCAGAGCACTTTTATACAATTTTCAAATAGAAATAATATTCTTTTATAGTTTGAAATGATTAACTATTCACACTCATTGTTCATTCATCTGATTGAACAAGAATTTCGAACCACGTCCATCGGCGGTCGCTCTCACAGTCTAAGCAGTCATTTTATGATTGGCATTCTGAAAAGGTGGGAGCTTGTAGTTTATTGTTTATCAAATGCCAAATCATAAAATGACTGCTTCACGACTGATTTGAGAGCCACCCCCCGTGCGAAAACCGCTGTGTGAGTTCGAAAAGTGAGTTACAGAATCGCAAGCGAACGCAGCACTATTACTTTAAATATGGCAACATTATTTTACAAAGTGACATTAGCTACTGACAGTTGACTTCGTCTAATTAAAAATACGACTATAGGCTTCAGCGTGCGACCCTCATCTCTAAGATCGTCGGTTCGAACCCGACTGTGCACCAATAGACTTCCTATCTATGTGCACGATGAAAACTCCCTCATGCGGTAAAGCAAAACATCGTAAAGAAATCTGTATCTGGCTCCGAACGCTGATCACCTACCTATCTATTGTTATAAACAAATGTTCAAGAAACAGATACAGAAATCTTAGGCCCAGACCTAAACGGTAAAAGGGCCACTGTTTATATGAATATACATGAGCACTACTTGTTTTTGGTAGAGCCATCAAACCAAAATCAGAACCTTTCCGCTCAATCTAATGAATACATTTTTTTAGCATATTAAATTTTTCTATATAAACTGATTTCAGCACGTTCTTTGTGTATACAACGTACTATTATTAGTTTAGTTTTTTTTATTAACTTACGCAAAATGATCACGGAATTGATAGAATAACTAAATTAAAGAAGAGAAAAAGAAATATACCCTCACACAACGCCCTCTATCCACTTACCTCATCAACTGTAACGTCTTTCGTGTGTTCAAACTTCCTCAAACCAGACTTGAGTTTACGCGCAATGCGATTCGATTCGTCGTAAAGCGACTCGCATAAGAATACGTCGTTCTCTGAAATCTCTGTAGGGCGACCTGAAAAAAAAAAAAAATTTCCATTCAAGCAAAATTATAATGACTTTTAAAAGACAAGAAAATTGTTAAATTAAAACAATTTATATCTACTTGTAACAAAAGCGATAAAACAAATTGTTAAGTTTTATTCAATTCACTACACTCCGATTTTACATTTCATAGAATTCTGACATTTCAAAAGTGTTGATACTAAAAAAAGTTCTCCACCGAAGAAGGGAAAAATTTGACCCATTTGAGGGCAATAAAAAAAAAATGCTTCGTATTTCTACGTTTTACCTACAAAAAGGTAAATCTTAATATTTACTTACTCAAGTGACCTAATACAAAAATTACAAATATTTCAATAACACGAACAATATAAAAAAAAAATAAAAACTAAATAAATAAAAAACAAATAAAAAAAATAACTAATAATAATTTAAATAACTTTAATTACTTTATTTTATTCTTTACGGCTTTACTTTCTGGCATCACTACCTACTTTTTCCAGGTTTAATAAAACTAATAAACTAAAATATTATCTTAACTTGTGCGTTTTTCACTGTTTGTGATGAAAAGGGACGTAATTATCACTCGCCGTTAAACCACTTTTAATGTGGAGCACCTCACTTAATAAAATGAATACATTCACTAACAAATAAAATGTATGAATAGACTCAGGTGTTCAGACTCGTATTGAAATTGAAAAATGTGCCCGGACAAAAAGGTTTACCATCTCTGGCATGTCAAAAAATGGTAGCTGTTAGAATTCTACGGAATTAAAAATCGGTGTATACGCAAGACAAACATGACGAATTAGAATTTAAATATTTTCCCTTCCAAATTGTTTGCATAACAGCAAAAAAAAACCTTACATATGAAATAACTTACATTTAAGATAATCATCGTAGTCCAAAACCGAACACTTCCCGACAATGCCTACTAAGGGACTGGTGTCGTGTAGCGTTGTTAGTAGCACTTCTTGTTTGTAGAAAGGCTGAAAAACACAAGTAGGTACTGAGGTGTTCAATAAAAAATGAGTATGACGAACTAACTATTACTCTTTAATGTATAATATTCTACGGTTTCGATATTTGTAAATATGTGAGGAACATGTATACTAACTTTTTTTAGTATAGTAGTTTTTTTCTAAGAGTACATTGTCTTCACATATAATTATTTAACGAATGTAAACAAAATATTGTTAAACTATTTTAAAAGAGTAAGTGTGGAGTTTCTTGCCCATTCTTCTCCACACGAAACTAGGAAGAGGCAACTAGAATTATCTTTATATTTTGTTTGACGTTCAAAAGTGCCATTTTAGGTGGTCTAATTGAAAAAAAAAATGATTTGACTTTGAACTTAATTTTTCGACTATAGAAATCTTCATTTGTTCTGTTATAAAACAAACAGACCGTATTTCAATTTATTCAGTTTCGTCTCGAGCTGGGCTTTCTTTCCAAGGAGAATGTATCGCGTTATCACTATTTATTGAATACCCTCAAGTACAAAGGTTTTGAAAAAAATCGATTATAATGTGGATTTACCTTATTTATGATATTTGACACCTCTGCCGGGAAAATAAAGAATGGACCACGGAAGTAGCATTTGTTACTGAAACAAAAAATACTAGATGTTAAAAAACACACAATTTTTTTCTATAATAAAAATGTAACAAAGAAAAGTACAGACTCGGCCAAGCTTTTGTTATATTACATAGTAGTAAACTATTCAAGGCAAACACCAGTCATGGGGACCACCATGCTTTATGATGGTTATGACATAAAATTGCAGCTTATGTGAAACGTTGGTACTTTCAACACAGCGCCATCTATTAGAATTGTGTCAAATAATAAACAAATAATTTACAATAAACTAATATTACGGGTAGAAATTAAGATGTAAGTTATCCTATCTTTTTAATTAGTTCAAACTGTACACGGTATGCAAATTTGATTCATATCGGTTAAGTAGTTTAGGAGTCCATAGCGGACAAACAACGTGACACGTAATTTATATATATTAAGATAGAAGCAATATTTGTATGGAATTGATACCAAACGAATATTTATTTGAAGACACACAGGCACTTCATTTCTTTCGCATTCGTTTCTACGTAATTAATAATTATTTCACATTGGTTTATATAACTTTATACAGAAACGTTGAAATTCATATTTGACTCACTCTCCAGTCTCCCAAATAGTGTCGACCTGCGCGATGATCTGAGTCCCGCCATCAGTGACGACGTACACGTAGTCTCCTGTCTTGATGACGCCCGAACACACTGTATTATACTGTTCATAGTATGTGTTCTCATCGTCTGTACCAAGAGGGTTGTACATTACCACGTCCTATAAAAACAGAGTATTCATTGAATAGTGTTGTTCAACCATTATTGAATAATTTAGACTATATAACCTTTCTCGTAAATCAAATTAAAGTGGGCGAAGCCTCGGGGCACAGGTAAAAAGCTACTTCAATATCTTCGCTGCTACGGAGCTTTTTTTAAGTTTTTAAGCTTATTTTTTATAGATAAAAATACACTCTTTATTTTATCCGGATTTAATATGACAGATACTACATAGTTTTACAATGGAAAAGTGTTAATCAAAGGAAAACACTACGTATTGATTATTCATTGCGATACATTGTAATAAATGTCAATTAAAAAAAGTCAAATGTTAATAAATTAAATAAAGGTACTTACCGGTCTTTCCTTCTCTTGAACATTCTCCAACACTTCAAGTTCCGCCAACTCGTCTTTATGCTTCTCGACTCGTTCACGGAATACTGACACTGTTCTATTGGGCTCCAACGGAATCTGAAGTTAACATATATAATTTTTAACCCCACTTATTTGTCTTTCCCCTTTATTTTCCCTATTTTTAAATAAATCTTTTTTCTCAAAGATCTCTCTCGCTTCCTACTAAATCTCCCCTTCTCGTATAGCTCACTAAAAATTAGTTCAAGTTAGAAGGAATATTTTGACCGGCGCTCCGCGTGAACGTGTTTTTAAAATTAGTTTAAAAATTTATCATCCTTTCTTAATAAAAATACGTAACGTTGGTGAAATATTGTAACTCATTACAAGGTAAGGTTTCCTGTTTTTTTATGGTTTTACTCTGTAAAATGTTATTTTTATGTCTGGACTAAATATGAGCCAACATCGAAATATTCCTTTTGTTTGTTGTAGTAATGGACCCAAAAAATTTTATGGAGGCTACATCCATCATTCAAAATTTCCTAACCACCTATGAAGAGCTTTCTATATGATACCTCAAAACCCTCAATCGCCACCCATATATACCTAATCTTCTCCATGCGACATTCCTTTCAGAACTTCCCGTCCAGTTCACGTGCTCACCACCTAGATGGAGGGCGGTTTTTAGAGAAAACGCATTCAGTTCTTAGCAATACCAGCTTGCCTGCTATATAATGGATTGAGACACCTATTATTTTTTCAAATATTTGTTCACCGATGATATGTTTCTCTACATTACTCAAGAAACACTCAATATGCATAAAAACCCCAAACTATTGTTACCATCAGATATAGAACAGTTTGTTGGTATATGCCTGATGATGTCAGTTATTCAGCTGCCTTCACCAGAACTACTAGTTCGGTTTGGACACCCTAAAGTGAATTCGTTTATGTCCTGTAATCGTTTTGAAGAAATTAAACGTTTCTTACATTTCAATGATAACTCAACCCAAATTCCCAAAGGTCGGTTGGCTTATCCTCTCCTAAACTCAGGCCATTTCTTGTCCAAGTTAGAGAACGACTACTACTTTCCGAAGAGGAATATATGGCCGTCACACATTCCAACTCGGTCTCATCTACAACCCAAAAACCACATAAGTGGGGATACAAGAACTTTGTCTTGAGCGGCAGTTCTGGTTTCAGCTACGACTTTGAGCTATACACAGGTCTCATGTTTCTGAAACAGTAGATGGCAATTTCCGAACATCACACTTCAGCAATGTTGTCGTCCGGCTTCAAAACCTTCCCTACTAACTACCGACTTTTCTTTGACAATTGGTATACATCACTCCACTTTTAGTTTACTTAACAAAACAGGGTTTTTGCCCCTGCCATCAAACCAACCCGTTCCAGGACATAAAGTTCCAGTCAAAAGGAGTTGAAAAGAAAGGACGGGGTCTACAGTTGAAAAAATTTCAACCGTGGAAATGTTGATATATCTGTGACAACATGGTATGACAACAGAGTTGTAAACTTGGCATCACATACGTTTCAAACCTATGACAGAGTGAGACGTTATAATAAAAAGAAAAAGTGTACCAAACTGTTCCCTGTCCAAAGGCTGCCGACTCAACAGTCATATGGGAGGTGTGGATCTGTTAGATGCACTTCTTGGTTATTACAGGATCCAGATCAGATCACAAAAATTTTATCACCGCATATTCTTTCATCTTTTTAGATATGACGACAGTCAATGCTTGGCTGTTATATAGACGCAGAAATGCTGACGCTGATGCATGGTTGCCCCTTAGCGATTTCAAAGTAGCTGTGGCGGAAGCCCTCCTATGACCAATAAGCCCAGCACAGTCGCCAAACGCGGACGGCCATCCTCCAATATTATCGAAAATGTAATCCAAGAGAAGAAGTCCAGAGGAGCTATTGCAATAATGCCATCTCAGGATGTTCGTCTTGACCAGCTGGATCACTTGCCTGTCTGGTCATCCAGGCAACGTTGCAAAGTGCCTGAGTGCAATGGTAGATCCCACGTGCTATGCAGGAAATGTCAAGTCAACTTATGCTTGAATGAGAAGAGGAATTGTTTCCTGCTGTTTCATACTATCTAATCCTTTTTTTGCAATTTCTGCTCATTGTGCCACATTTAAACCAAAGTGGAAAAACCTGATTTTCTTACGTATTTTTTGATAAATTGAAATTTGTTAAAATACGTGTCTTTTATTTATTTTTTACGTAACATATATTTTTTGGGTCCAAAAAAAAATCATGCAGTAAAGGGTTAATAATCACTCATCACACCAAATATCTATAATTGGCTTCAAGGAAAAAAATCGAATTGTATTTTCATAACTGACTAAATGACCCAGTAAACTTATCACCTACGTATGTCTGTGTCAAAACTTGTTACAATTTTTTTAAAACAGACCAAAGAGATTGGACTTCATACTACAGCTATGAAACACAAATTTCTGAAGGCTGAAATATATAACAACCAAGCAATAATTGTTTATTTCTAAGACATCAAATATTTCCCAGATAGGAACAGTTTTTATTGGAATCGTTGAATTTTTTTTTTTTAAAACGGTTTTTCGCAACGTAACCTTCCTTCAAAATCACAATTAGCCAAATCGCTCCTGCCATTCTCGAGTTTTAGCGAGCCAAACGAACAGAAATTATTTTTTATATATAGGTAACATGTGTTTGATTTTAAACAAGTTTTAAGGCAAACTAAATTTTCCTTGCGTCAAAATACTATGTCCATTTGGAAAATGAAAGTCTAACGCCCTATTCATAAAATAAATAAAAATCGAATAGCATTATTTAACTGTATGTCTCTTTCTGTCAAATTGTATTTACGCTGTGATAAAAAGAGATAAAATTACTATGGTAAAAACGGTGATTATTTTATCAGACATGTTTCGGAATCCAATATGTTTATGATATACGGGAGCCAGAGTGACACTCACCTCTCGTGGTAAAAGTGTAGCCTCTTTCTCAGCGCCTTCCCAAACCTTGATTTTCTTGAACCAGCGATGCTTTGAATTGTATCTGCTCTCACAGACATACACATCCTTGTCAGCATAGCCTGGTTATGACAAGGATTTTTAAGGAAGGAACTCGATTAGTGATACTAATAAAAGTTAAAACTACTATACAATATTCTTAACGTATGATATGAAAAATTACGATTTAAGTTCCTATTTTTAGTTTATACTTTAGGGAGCGTTCAAGTATTACGTCACACAATTTTTGGAGATATTTACCCCCCCAATTCAATCCCCGCCCCGCATCGTAACGTTTTATGAAAGGCCCCCACCCCCAAATTCGTTATGTAATACCTGAACGCTCCCATTTTAAAAATATGCCTCTTCTTTATTTATAAATTAGTTGCTTTAAAAATTAATTAATTAGACATAACGTTGATTACTAACGAAACACACGAAATAATAATAATACCCACGTTTTCCACAGCGCTAATATTCGTACTTTAGAAGAAAATTCATTTTAATTTAAAACATGGGATTAGTATGAATAACAAACCTTCAGGCCTAAACTTGAAGTACTCCTTGACATTCATAACATAACACCGTCCAATCACTTGTTCCAAAGGCACACTACGGTGCGTCTCAGTCTTGAACACTTCCTGTTGAAGGAACTTGCGCGTGCGCACGTGGAACGTTTCGTGCGGACTGAAAGTTTTATGCAACAAATAATTATCTATAATAAAAATTATATAATATTTACACTCCAAGTTGTTTTTTTCTAGAATACAAAAAAAAACGCTTATCCAAGGAGCAGCTACAAAAATAAAGGCTAATCTTCTGATTAATTTGATTACCACTCATGCAAAATTGATTATGTAATTAAGTACATTTTCATATCATATAAATATTAAACTCTTTAGTTCTTAAACTTACCGGAAATACACATTAGCGTAAACCATAGGTACATTATCCGTATTGGTGAACAACCTCTCGATCTGCACGATAGTGGCTTCTTTTGTACCACGTTCAGGCTGGATATACACGAAGTCTCCTTTCCCATATTGCGTTTTGGGAGGTGCACCGCCTGATAGAAGGGATTCGTCTGTGCTCGATCTAAAAAAGTTATATCCGTCAATTATCATCTTTATTTGTTATTTAAGTACAAGTTAAAATATCTTCAATTGTTTATCATTGGAACTTGAACGGGTGCTGCTTGTGGTGACTGGTCGTACTTGAATTCGTGTATGCGGTGATGTTAGTTGTTTCGACTATGTGTTTGCGTGTTGTTCCCACGAGAATGTAAGTGCGTGCTCCTATTTCACCATGCCTCCTGCTGATAGAGGACAACTCTTTGTTTTTAATCTATGTTATTATTAATTATTACTTGATATGTCATGTGGAACATGGTGTAATGGCTGCAGCTCCTTACAAACGTTGTGTAAAAAAAATGGCGATTAAAAAGAGTGGCGGAGAGTTTATTGCCAGTTCGTTTCTCCCGTTCTACGCCCTTGATTTGAGAACTGGCAGTAAATGTAAGATTAGAAGCATTATTATGTATTTCTTTACTGACGAGTAAGTGTAAATTATGTTACCTATATCGAGGTCGAGGTCATCATAGACTTTCCGGAAACTTACTTTGAGTAAAAACATTTCGTTTAACTGTTTGCAATTTTATTTGGGGGCGTCCATAAATTACGTGAGGTGTTTTTTAAAATTTTCTGTACCTCCCTCCCCCCCCTGGTGAGATTCTATTCAACCCCCTCCCCCATCCCTCAATCTCACGTGAGATTTTTCAAAATGTGGTTTTCTTACGTAAACGCGTTGGATTGTTATTGTAAAAAAAAATTAGCTTAGTGCTTTTATTTACGACTAAAACAAAATAAGTGAAATGTTGAGCGTTTAGGTATGGAGTTAGCGGAAAGTTGCAGAGATGGCCTTTAGGGTCAACCGTTTTTCTAAGTTTTCTTTTCTCAATCAGAAAAAAATTTGCGTGATATTTGCCGAGACCCCCCCCTCTCTCCAACCTAAGATTAAATGAGATTTGACTCGACCCCCTCCCCCCCCTTAAACACCTCACGTAATTTATGGACGCCCCCTTTAGAAATTTAGTGAAACATACCTGGTCTCATCATCTTCATCGTTCTCTTGCAACAGCTTGCACTGCTTCACCAGTTCCACTGACGTTGTCATGGTATCTCTTGTGAAGTTCAAGGCTGGAGTTACCAAAGTATTACGACATAGAATGTCACGTTGTTCTATATAATAGGCCTGAAGCTCCACAGAATCTTCAAAGATTTGACTGTCTGTACGTGAAAGTCGACGGGCTCTGAAAATTTTTAACCGATTTAAAAAATACCAATGGTTAAATAACGTGTATTTTTCTACCAAAAAGTAAATCTTCATATCTTGTATACAACTAAATAATCAAGTCAATACAAATATATGTATATTTTATAATAAAAAAATAATTACAATTTTATTTTTTTAAAGATTTTATTCGAGATGGTAAACACGAAATAAGGTAAGTAAATGTTGTAAATGTAAAGCGAAGATAATTACATTCTTTAAAATAAAACAAATTTTTTAATACTGTTTTTTATATAAATTTTGACGTATATCATTCAATGTAATATTTTAAAAAATATACCTCGTACTCATAGCAAGAAATGTATTTAAACAGTATTAAATAGTAGGCCTTTAACACAAACCTCTCAAACACAGCGAACATGTCCTGTTGGAAGTGATCCAACCGTTTGTATAGACCCTTGTCGAGCCTACGTTTGACCAGGTCCAATGAAATGGCGCGCACTTTCTCGCCATTCGCCGCTTCATCGTGTTCCGGAAGTTCAGCCATACTATCTGAGTAACATCTGAAATATTTTAATAAAATACAGTTTCTGACAGATTGAAGCGAGCATATTATTTATATCATAATGTTAAAAAAGGATATTATTAAAATATGGCCTTTAATTCATTACGATGCAAATCCTAAATCTAGAACGAACGGCGTTTGGCCTCTCGTTCGATGTCTATTAAAAAAATGTATCTACTTTCACTATTAGATCTATCTATCCATCCATTAACACTATCTATCCATTAACAATCAGAGTTCTAATAAATGTAACCTGAAGGAACCGGTTTTTATCATTAAAACAGTCATACTATTTAGTCGTCTTATTATATTTTTTTTACTTAAGCTCTTTTGAAAAAAAAAAGGGAAAAGTACTTTATAAACAATCAATACTAATGCATTAGAATATATTACCTCCCTTCCTCGTCCTGATGATTATATACTGTAGTGAAAAGATTCAGTAAGAGATCCTGTACTGCCGCTGGCACATCTGGTACTGCATCGTCATCTTCCCTATAAAAAATATGTCAGTAAATAAAGTCAAATGCTACAAAACTCGCTAAAATCAGATAAAATACTAGTCTGTCAAACCAGAAAATAACGCGACTTTGGTATAAACATCGGCTTAAAATATATTAGAAAAATTAATAATTTAAATCATAGTATTTTCTTAAAATAAAAAGATTGTAGAAATATTTTTGAGTGTCTTTGTACTCTTAGTTTATTTATAATTTTAAGCAATAATAATAATAAAAAACTGAAAATGTTAGGCCGTGTTATATATAACACGTCAAGAAACTATATTCATATACAACTTGTAATTACGAAATCCCTTAGCTAATTAAAGTAGTTAGAGACAATACAAAAAATAATTAACGGATTAAAAAATCTAGTATTCCTAGTAAATAACATAATATCTAACCTCAACATTTGCTTAGTCTGCAAACAAACTCTTTGCAGGATCAACGCGTCCTTATAAATCTGCGAATCTGGCTCGTTATATTTGCAAGCGTTGTCGAACATTAGTATGAAGTCCGATGCCAACTCGTTAACAGAGGTATAGACACTGTTCTTTAGTTTGTGGGCGATTCGTTCCATGTCTATGGGATTTTTTATTAGCTCGTAGTAATCTGGGTATTCCGTTTTACTTGGAAGCTTCATGAATATCAGTGCTAATTGTCGGTTAGCTAAAAAATAATATAATAGAATTTGACTATTAAACACGTTTCATATGCATCTTAAAATAGCGAACGGGATAAAGCAGCGCTTGCGAGTTTTGTTTGAGACAACTGTCAATGATCTTTCTTAAGAATGACAACTATCATCATACGGTAGTAGGTAATGAAAAATAAAGGTTGAACTTATGTAAATGTAATAAAATCACGTTTATATCAATTTAAAAAGTTCAAAATTCACAAAAAAAAAAACAAAAGACATAATTAATTTAACGCGAAACACCAGGTATTGCAGAATTCCTAAATAAGCTGCGTAAAGCTGGCCATAGACGGACCGCATGTTGCAGTCAAGACCGACTGCTGCAGAGAGGTCGTGTTGAAGTACACGACTTCAACACGACCGCTACTACTACGTATAATGCAGTCGGCTACGTCTGCTTGGAGCAGTTGTGTTCGACCGCAAAATAATACTGATGCGAGTTCATTTACAAGATGGAACTCGATGAAGAAACACTGCTACTTGTACTATTATTACGCAAGTGTAGGCGTAGAAGACACCGTAGTATGTGAGTGCGTCCAATACTACAATCAAGAGAACAGCATGGAATATTTCATACTTTGTATCCCCAGCTGAGAGAAGACAATTAAATTTTTTTCAACTACTTTAGAATGTCCGTGGTTTCATTAGATAAATTAGTTAGTATTTTATTATTTTTGAGGGAGAGGCGCGCGGTCGGCAGCAACCGCTTGTAGCGGTCCGTGTATGGTGGGTCCGGCAGCTCTAAGCAGTCGACCGCACGACGAAACTCGACCGCAGAGCGACTGCTCCGACCGCTCAGAAACTGGTCGTGCGGTCCATGTATGGCGGATATGAATTTAGTATGGAAACTGCAGATCGCCGTGCGGCGACCGCTTAGAGCAGTCGGTATCGACTGCAACATGCGGTCCGTCTATGGCCACACTAAGACGTTTTGTACGTAATTGACATTATACTAATAAGTTAATGACAGGTTATCTCAGATTAACGATAAAAATAATAAAAACGTTATTTAATTATAGAGCTTATATTATTTAAATCAACAACACCTAAATTGAGATGGGTAAAGAGCGTGGGATATTTGTGTCATGTCAGTACAAACAGCGGACAAAAGCATAGACAAAAATGCAATACCTTTAGGATCCCTATAATCCCTGATTGCGTCATACAATGTGCGCAATTTCTGTTCAAAGGGTGTGAGCTGGCGCGACTTGGCTGGTTTTATGGTCTTTATCGGAGTTTTCCTTTCGACGCAACTGTTCAATTCCTTCACCTTCTCATTCAGGACGCGTTCTAATAGATTTGCGTCCTGGAACAAACTTTTAATCTACAGTACTTGTAATGAATAATATAAAAGGTAGTGTTTTGCAGGAAGTGTCAATGATAAAGGGCAATATACACACACACGAAGGAGCTATCTATAGCTTACTCTAATTATAGGCAAATGCGGTTGTCGGCAAACTACCCGGAGTTGGGTAGTTTTAACTCATGTTAGAAATCACTAACTAACATTACGTTCGAATGTTGTAGACTGCATGCAATATGACCAATAGGTTTACATGGTATTGTAGGAATATACAAAAAACAATTTGTATTTGCACAATAAAGACTTTTCAATGACTTAAGAACCGTATGCTAATAAGTAATCATTAAAGTCTCGTCACTCCATTTGATTACGTGTGATAAAGACAGCATCATAGACTAGAATGTTCCATGAGACCGTTTAAATCTTTTTGAAGTTATACTTCTTTAGGCGCGTTATGCAAAATTGATGAGAATGAAATTTTACGATTCGCGCGCACCGTGACACAAAATTAACAGAATGAAGTTGCCCACGGAAGATGCTACGGCATTGGACATAATTTAAAAAAAACATTCGAATAATAATAGAATTTATGTTACACTTAATGTAAGAGAATAATAATAAATATTTATTTATTTAATTTTTCAAATGTAAACTGAACTTTATTGACTATAATGACTCCTTTTCGAGTCTTTGATTATTTAATTGTAATTAATTATTTGCAGCAATCAAAAACTATTTTTAATAATGCCAAAGAAGTATAACTTCTTACGCGCGTACATAAGTACACGCACCCTTTTTTTTTAAATAAGTACACTCGTACCGACAACCACTAAACACCATTTACTAGAATTCACTCGAAAGACAAGCTTTACATTCACGGCATATTATTTTGTACGCCCATGAGCACCGGCATTACATACCTTTACGATAGACTTCTGCTTGTATGGCATCCTCTTCTATAAACAATTATGTTAGTGTTAGACAAAATAAAAATGATGCATGATAAGGTTAGATAATGCAGGAACTATGAAAAGTGATGAAATTAAGAACACATACCAAAAAAAAAACTGCTATTTCTATCTCTACGTGCTATACATATATTTCATCAGTAGTATTGACATAAGAACTTACCTATTCATAAAAGTAAATTTAGGCTAAAATCCAGATATCTAAGGCGCGAAACATACAGAAAAGGCGTAAGGTGAAGGCGCGGCGCAGGCGCAGAGCCGGCGTGGAACATATAAGACACGGATGCGACTTAAATTATATCAAAGAGGCGAAGAGACGGCACAAAGAGGCTGGGCTGACTGCACTGACGCAGGCTGACTTTATCGTGATAGCATGTCTTCCTCTTCAGTTGACGAAGATGCGCTCGCTTTGCTGAACAGGCGACGAAACGACGTGCCTGTGCCACGCCGCTTGAGTATAATTAAGAACGTGCCGCTAAAGTACATTTTGTATTGACGGGTTTTGAAGCGGCAAGATGCCTGCGCCGCGCCTTCACCTTACGCCTTTTTTCTGTGTTTCGCGCCTAAGTGTGAACTAAGGGTCAAATTAAGAGTCAAGACTTAGCTCTGACACTTGTCAAAAGCTTATTTGGAGCTCTTACATCTGTTGCGTGGTCACATAATTTTGACACATAAATCTTATCTTACTTTAAAAATAAGTTTTAATAATCTCATTTTTTATTTAACTATTCAATTACATTCATGAGCTGTTTTAGATTTGACTATCAATGTTTAATGTGTGGACTTTTACCAAATACGGAATTTTAATTTTTTTTTATATTTATTTTACGACAATAGCAACTCCCTTTGCATTAGCATTCGCAGGCCTAATAACAAAAATATGCATAAATGTTAGTAAACAGCTACGGGCTAATACTTGCTAACTACAATGGATTCTCAAACATAAATGTTTACCTCATAAATCATAGATCCTTCTTCGTTAAACTGACGACAGTTTGAGAACATCAAGCGGAAGTCTGAGACCATTTCATCCACGGAGGTATAACGATCGCTCTGTAAGAAATTATTGAATATTATAGAAATTCATTAGGAATTAATGTTATAATCTTTTCAAGGTTTATTATTATTATTTTAATTACCGCATTGACACCGATTTAAGGTTGTGGATTCAATAATTTGGTTTAATTATTTAGGTATCCAATGTATACCCTTAATGCAATTAAATGTTAATAAATGAATTAACATAATTTCTTAGCTGATACATCTAATACTTGTTGGAAAACATTTAGTAAAACAGAAAATTTATAATAATTTGAGACACAAGAAATTTTAAGTTAAAAATTACATTTAAAAAATAAAAATAAATCAGTGGCGCTACAATCTCTATAGGTCTTAGGACTCTATAGGTCAGATTTCTGAATCTTTTTCATGATCATTTTTAAATCTAATAGGCAAGTAGGTAATCAGCCTCCAGTGCCTGACACACGCCGTCGACTTTTAGGTCTAAGACGTCGGTTTCCTCACGATGTTTTCCTTTACCGTTCGAGCAAATGTTAAATTCGCACATATATAGAAAGTCCATTGGTGCCCAGCCGGGGATCGAACCTACGACCTCAGGTATGAATAACTAAACACTGCTAGATATTACATTTATGTAATTAAAATTGTCTCTTGTCTCTTTTCATAAGGACGTTAACAAAATTAGACAGAAAGAGACGGAAAAGTACTTAAGTTAAATTTTGATTTACCTTGATATTAGCCTCAATAGTAAGCATATCAATGGGCCGGTCAATAACATTATAGTATTCTGGATACAGCTTCTTGCTCGGTTTCTCCATGAAGAGGAGCATGGGCTGTCTTCCATCAGAGCAAGTAAATTCCACCAACTGCTTGGAGATGTAATGCAGTTTCTTCTTCAGCGGCATATTCGGTTTGAGTGATGGTGATGGGGACGGTGATGGTGCGACAATTGGATTTACGCGTGGACGACCTGACAATTTAATTATTCATAAATGTTAAAGAGTTTAAAACCTAGGAATTATATTTTTAAAAGAACGAACGCTAATAAATGTATTTTATTTTTATCCCGAAACCTTTTTCCAGGTTGTAATAATAAAATGTGTATTAATTTGATTATAATTTTAGGACCGCCCGAATTTTATATCGCCCTTGATGGGCGTATCTGGAAGAATACTTTTAGATAAACACAATACAAACATATTTATCAAATAAATAAACTTTAATATTTATCAAAAGCTATATAGGAAAGCATTGCATATAGTAATTTAAATGGGTCGTTTATTACCTCTCGGTCTTGGTGTAGCTTGTGAATGGTTCTTTACAGATGACAGGCTTTCATCATCACTGGAGGAACTCTGTACGATATCTAGCAACTCTTGGACTCGCTGCTGCATTATTCTGTGAATGAAAAATGAATGTCAAATCAAAGTCAAATCATTTATTTCAATTAGACCACCTAAAATGGCACTTTTGAACGTCAAACAAAATATAAAGATAATTCTAGTTGCCCCTTCCTAGTTTCGTGTGGAGAAGAATGGGCAAGAAACTCCACACTTACTCTTAAAATACGTTTACAATATTTTGTTTACATTAGTTAAATAATTATATGTGAAGACAATGTACTCTTAGAAAAAAATTGTTTTTTTTAGTATAGTAGTTTTATTGTTAGGAGAATGTTAAAACAAATATTCACATGCAATAAGCCTATTAACAATATGCATTTTACAAAAAGCATCTGAACTATTTGTAGTTTAAACTAGGCTATGTGACAGTGTGAAAGATAAAGTGTAATCTGTATAAAACGTGGCTTTAAAAATCCAGTTAAATATTTGTGTCACGTGACACAAAACATTCACAGATTAGTCGTAAGATGGACAGATGACGTAGCAGAATTAAGAATGCTAATTAAATACGTAAAAATCGTTACGTTCGTTTGCGTGTTCGAAAGCTTGGCACTTGAAATTATGAACGTTTAATTGTAATTTTATAAGGTATACTTGTCACAAGCCCATTGTGATTATTTAATTAAACAAAAACTTGTAATAAGATACTTTGATATATATCTATCTCCCATTCTTTATGTAATCATAAAAACAAAAGTACTGATCAGTTTTTAATGAGTGATATATCAATTCATAGTACATTAATTAAGGAATAGAAATACATAAACTTATTCGAAATGACCTCCCTTATTTTTAATACAGGCCCTTAAGCGCCGCGGCCAGTCGTCTATCGCAGCACGCACCATATTCATGTCGATTTCAGTGACTGAGTTTTTTAAAGACGACTGCAGACTCTCCAAATTTTTATGGGGTGTATCACAGACCTTCCTCTCTAAGACCTGCTAAAATTTATAGTCCAAAGGATTAAGGTCCGGACTGGAGGAAGGCCAATCCTCATTCTAATTAAATCGATGTTTTGACCTCAAACCAGGCTTTAGTGGTCTTGGCTTTGTATGCAGCTCAGAGTACTGCTGAACACGAAGTGATGTCCCCAAATAGGGTCTACAGGTCTTACAACATCCAAAACCGTCTCTCGGTACACTTTAGCTCTGGTTTTGACCCCTTTGCAAAAATGAACCTCAGTTAGCCCGTAATAGGACACTCCCAACCAGACCATTACTGATGATGGATGATGTCCATGTTGTACCCTTGGAACTTTATTTTTAGCTTCTTCAGAACTCCTAGCTACACTGTATCAATCTGTTTATTGTACTTCTCTTCATTATCGAAATTTTTTTCGTCCGTAAAGAGGATATCACGGTGTCGGTTTTTCGCTACCCTTAAACAACACCCGCATCTCTTAAGCCTTATTGCTTTTAGACGAGCATTAAGTAAGTTCCCACTTTTTTTTTTGTATGCTCGTAGACCAAGATCTTCATTTAAAACCTTTTTTATTGTTTTCCTACTGACAACCATCTGCAAAGCCATCAACTTCTGTTTTCGGACAGAATTTCTTACTATCCGCGCTTTGATAGCTTTGATTACTGCTGGTATTCTTGCGGAGCGTGGCCGGCCAGTTATTTTCTTGTCCTCAACACTGGAGACTTCAAGGTACCTATCAATAGTACCGTACACAAACCTAAGCGTTATATTAAAATTTTTGAGCAACTTGAAAATGGTACTCGGCGAGTGCCCACAGCGGTGCAACACAATAACAACTATTCGGTCTTCTTTCAATGTCCACTCCGTCGTGAAAACTTACTGAAAGTTATTGTTTTTTATTTTAAAACAATAGTCAAACATTCCAAAATAGAATGCAATAACTTTTTTATAAAATCCTGCTCGAAATATAGAAATAATGTGCCAGTGACAGAACTTTGGGACCAACTTGTAATAAGATAGATTTGAATAAAGGCAATCCTTTATCAAAATTTTTATGGAAAAGTAAAACGAGCATATGGAACGGCCAAGCAGATGCCGCTGATGAACATCGTTAGCGGATGCGTTGTCGGCCTATAAGAGAGGAGTATTGTCTTTTTTTAAAGTGTGGAGGTCGTAACTCAAAAAAGACCTTTGCTGCAAGTCGATTTCGAAGGTATTTCGATAAACGAAATTCCTAGAGAAGCGGACTGCGCCATCGAAGTAAATTTCTTTATAATCTACTGCAAAATATAACGATTTGATATTAAATAACCTTGTTCTACAATTACCTTTGCAATTTAACAGCATCCTTGTAAATCCTTGAAGTGCCGAGATTATACTGTTTAGCGTTCTCAAACATAATATTCATGTCGCCAGCCACCTCCGACAGAGTCCCATAGTTGCCTCGACGTATTTTGTTCTTTATTTGGTTCATAGATACCGGGTTCTTGATTTCTTTATAGTAGTCCGGGTGATCGCGTCTCGAAGGCAGCTTCCAGAATGGTGAAGCTAGTGGGGCACCAACAAATGTTATCTTTGTCCTCTACTTAACAATAGATATTTATTTAGTCTTTTTTTTATATACATCGTTATAATGTGAAAATAAATATAAGTCTTGGAAATTTTCAAATTATTATTCTATATAAAAATTAAGACAATCAATTTGAAATAAATTTGAGCTTTGAGACATTTGAGCCGTTCAAACGCCGATATTTCACGTGGGCTTTTTAGTTACGTCACGTAACACAACCTGTGTTTGTTTTCTATAGGCGTATCAGTTATCTCATAAAAAAATTTAGATAAAAGTATTTAAGGCAAATTTTAATTATATGCATAATCCCCAGTGTTTTTAAAATACATCTTATACCTAAGTATTGATAGCAGAACCTAATTTTAACTTTGGAAACCCAGAAAATTAACGACGAGAAAGATCTCAAAATCTTCAAGTTCATATATGCAAACCTCTTTGGAACTGCATACAATAAACTTCTTCCGCTTAGCTTTACACTCTAATTTGATTTATTTCACTGGGATAATCCAACCAATCAAACACGAATATACCAAATTCATTTAAGTTATTATAACAATTTTAGATATTTTAATAATGATAGAGTAACGCTACAACTCTTTAGGCCTACAGCGCACTAGCGGCTGGCCGCGATGCGGTGTGCCGCTGCGGTAGGCCGCACATCGATTATTACATGAAACCGCACGATAACGACGCACTGATTTGCGGACAACCGTCAACCGCTCCGGCTGTTCTGGAGCTGCGACGAGCCGCACCGGTTGAATGATGCGGCAGACCGCAATAGGGACGGTTAGCCGGAATATGGCATGCCGCTACGGCAGACCGCATATACCGCGGCCTACCGCAGCGGCACACCGCATAGCGGCCAGCCGCCAGTGCGTTGTAGGCCTTAGTATGACTTCTGGCATACAAATCCATAACGTATTTAATTTAAAGATAAATAGTAAAAAAATCTCACCACCTGGGCCCATATGATTCCAGACAGATTCTAATAACTTCCACTGTGGCGAATCCTCATTTTCATTCTTATCATCATCGCTTTCGCTTTCGTCTGAAGGCTGAAATGTTTTACCTCGACCCTAAAACAGTTTTTAATGCTTTTAAGATTTTTGTTACGTGATCATAAAAACTAACTTTATTGTCCTAAAAGTAATCAATGTATATTTTAATTGTAAATATTTAGAGATTATAATCTGTATTATTATTTTGTTATATTTTAAACCTTTAAAGGTTTACTTTTTCATACACTTTTTTTTTATATCGTGAGATATCAATCAAAATAATTCTCACAATATTAACAAAAATTAACATATATTTTGTTTTGTATTAAGACATTTAATTATATCTTTATTACACAAAAACTTTCTACTACAGTTTTGATCAATGGCCTATGTTGTGGCAGGCAATATTATACTATAATTTAATTTCCATTATATGTACTTCACTATTTGATTGTTGTAGTAGTACTAAAATGTAGAAAGTTCTAAAAATGGGGCAGACACATTTCTAGGTATCATAATTGTCTTCATTAAAACTTCATATAGTATGTTACGTTAAGATTAAGTAACAATTATATTATTTGACTGAAAAAATGGTTAGTAAAAACATAAAGTTCACTAAACTACAGCATACTTTTCTTATAACTTTATATTTATTTACCGTAACAGAGGGCTCTCCATCTGATCCAGGGGGTTCCATGATGGCCATAGTTCTACTAGATAAAATGGGAACAACACGTGATGATCTCTTACTGCGAATACGCTCAGACACTTTGGGTCGTCCATGCTGCTCAATTTCTTGCTTACGAGTTTGGATTATCTGAAAAGGATATTTAATATTTAAGACATAGATATAAAAATTATGATGAAATGGGATATAAATTCAATAAATAATAGGCATGTACATTAGTTTTAGGTAACACTTGTTCCACTTCTCAATATTTTACGCAAAAAGACAGTTTCTAATTTTTTTAAGTTCTTAACTTAAACTGACCATACAGTACAGAAAAAACCACTTACTTTCTTCAACATTTTTGCATCTTTATAAACCTGGCTGTATGGCTCATTGAAGAGACAGGCATTCCTAACCATTAACAGTAAATCTTTCTCCAATTCACTCAAGTTTGAGTATTCACTTGCTTGTATCTTTTGGGCTATAGTTTTGAGGTCAATGGGAGTGTCTATTACATTGTAGTACTCAGGGTAGCGTCGTTTTGATGGAAGGAATTGGAATTCGCCATAAAGTGGTCGGCCATCTGCATTTGCTATCATAACCTAAAGACAAAATTTTAAAAGATGTGATTTGAATGAATATAGTTCTAAAAATGTTTTCCGCATACTTATTATAAATAGCAAGTCCATAATCCCATTACGTACCTAGTACATTTATTTGTTAAATCCAGATTTTTAAATTTAAATTGTTTAAAACACTTACAGCATTAAAAAGTTCTTCAAAAATGCTATCCTCTTCATTATTAGTGGAAGTTTCTGACATATCTTCAGCCACATCTGATCTGCGACTTGATGAGCTTGTTCGAGATATCTTTGGAACTTTCACTTCTTCACCTACAAGATTGTAAAGCATTCATCATTACTGTTTACATATACCAAAGATAAATGTTTAAATACGGCCAACATTAAAAAACATACCACTTTCAAGACTGTGTCTGGTTTTTGTATACAATTTCCACAAGCGGTTAGCATCTTTATATTCCTCTGACTCTGGTTTATAAAAGGCTTTAGCATTGTTTACTAGGAGTTCAATATCTGCAGACAACTCATCTATATCCTCATATGTATCAGTTTTTAGTTTCTGTTGAACCTAAGACAAACATGCATACTATTTTGACTACTATAACAGTCTTCCTAATAAGCCAGACTGTATCTGTATATTTATTACATATTACATTTACATAGGAATTTTAAAAAACTTTGATTTGCCTATAGCAGGAGCACTGGTTCCATAACATGATTTTACTCATTTACTCACACTAGGTGCATGCCATGAATTAGATTAGATGTTATTGTTAAGTAAAATACTTTAAGCTATATAATTATGAACAGAGTAATTGGATCAATTTTCTTTATGTATTTAACTCACTCTAAGCAGGTCAATAGGTTGAGATACAACTTCATAGTACTGGGGCTCTTGACGTCTTTTAGGTGCTCTGATAAATGAGTCACATAGAAGAGTTCCATCTTCCTTCTTGAATGAACGAATTGTGTCATACAATTGTTGACATATTTCACCCTGCAAGATATTTATTCATTTACGTTTGAAAATGTAAAAAAAATTTTTTAAATCATTTTAAAGCAAAGTTGTTATAGTAAAGCATTTCTTGATAAAATCTTTGTTATAGTTTCTATATAGCACCTGGAAAAGCAATTACAACTGGTGTTTGTGCTTACCGGTTCCAATTTTTTCTTCTTGCGTGATGGTGGAGGGCCTGGATTGCTCAGCTCAACGTCATCACTATCATCTCCATCAGCTCCTCGGCTTGCAACAGACGATGCACGACGCCGCTTACTCATATTGAGACGCCGAAAGAAACTGATTTTGTAACAGTACTTAAATACAAAAGATTTTAAAATACTTAAATACTACAACTTCACTTCACTTCTTCTAACGAAAACAAAACGGTTAGTATGATAATAATAACATATTTTGTTTAATTTTACGTCTACATTATTTGGGACAATTCAAGCATTCGACGCATTTGATGCCCGAGTCCCGACTCGACAGTCGACAGCTATTCGTTTAAAAACTTATCGACAATTGACATAGTATGTAATAATTAATATGCATATCGAAACTATGGTCAACAATAATTTGTTGCAATTTAAGTATAATATTTGTATTAGGTATGTTGACTCAAAACTAAATTGTAAAATATCACAAATTTATGAAATGAATATTATATTAGTTTTTATATGTCATTTTTGTAAATTTAAAAATGCAAAATTTCTCTATAATTTTTTTGTTCATTTTTTGTTGGTACCCACATAAGAGAAAAATAATTAACTTGCAGAATACTCTTCTCCACATTATATTAATACTAGTAACTGTACAACGTGGTAAAAGTGATGTGTTCTTATTAAACAACCTTTTTTAAATAATATCTCCTATTTCATCCCTTCTTTTGATTATCGAAAATGACTGAAGCAAAGTTTTGTAGTTACTTTAAGAATTTTATTCTTTGCGGCGAAATAGATTTCCACTGCATGTTATGCCAAGAGTCATTTTTTTATTTAGAAACTGTGGATAAGCATCTGAAGTGGGAAAAACATAGGAGCTTATTAAAAAAGCAGGCATACGACGAACGCTATAAAAGAGACTTTTTGTACAAGGTAAGTATGAATCATTTAAAATCAAACAAATGATAATATTACGCAGTAATATCATGGTACAGCCTTTTTTAAATATTCGTTCAAAACCTAAAAATTACAGTTATGCTTTTCTTCCACATTGGATGAGTAACATTTAACAAAGGTAAAAAATAACCAAGCCTATAAAACAGATATGTCACCTTCCATCCATAATACCAACCTATCAAATTATTATTTTTTTAAATAAAGGCATTGGCATATTTAACGGAATTAGGGTTTTACTTTTTGATATGAATGCCACTAAATGTTGTATAAAGGCAGTATCCCCCCCTACATTGCTCAATGTAAGTAGGTATGTATAATTCCATATCTATTCTTTATTGCCTAAAACGTAGGACGTATTCACGAAAACAATATTAATACTAAAGTCGCGATGCGTCGGAAGTAGAACTTGAGGTAAATTCACGTAAAATCAATTTTTTACAGATCAGAGATGATTTTTACTGTGAAGCCTGCAACGAGCTGACCACTGAACCTAAAAAACATAGACAATGTAGTTCTCATGTTGCAGCTAAAAGTGTTTTAAAAAAACCTAAATTTGAAACAATGAATTACCCAATAACGAGGTGTTCAGATGGTACAGTTTTTATTGGCGATGTCCAAGTGACCGCCTTAGAATGGCATGGTATAAAGAAAGATTTCTGTACCGTATGCTCTAGACAGATTCAAGATGTAACGATTCATAATACTTTGAATATCCACGTAATTAATCTGATACAATCGAATACTGTTAAATGCAATGAATATTATTACAGAATGGTAAGATTACTTCAAACCTTTTTTTTAAGTGCCGGCTATTAGTATGTATATTTGTTTCTTGGAAGTAATAAATAAGATTTTTTCTTAATTTACAGCTAAGTCATGAGAAGTTCTACTGCTTTATATGTCTTAACGTACATGACAATAGCACGATGGAAGATCATATGACTGAAGATTGTGATGTAGCTGAAAAATATAAAAACAACTATTCAAACAAGGCATATCGAAATATGAAAGTTTTAGTTAAAACTGACCCTGAACTTCATAGCGCACTTCTTATTATGAGCCAAGAATACTATAAAATAAATGATAAAAAAGGAGAAGCAGAATGTCGGATTTGTAACAAAGCAGTAAAAGCAGATATAGCGGTTATGATCAAACATAAAGATAACCATGAAAATGAAAAGGATTCAGATTGTGGTAAGCCTTACGATGTTAAGTATTCAGAAGTCGTTGACCACGGAAAAAGAAGGCACGAACTGGTAAATTATGGCAAGGATAATTATATTAAATTTAATACACTAGTAAGTTGGGGTTATTGCTCCCTGTGCCACACGAGAGTCTCCGCTAGCATGCGACAGGTAATGTCTCATGTGTATGGAAGACGTCACAAGTGTTTTCTAGAATTACATGGCCTTTGGAGACCGAGTAAGCATGAAAAGACTTATTGGAGAAAGATAAAGTTTACGAGCTTTATGATAAGCATTTTTAAAATTAACGGCTCTTCTTATCTTGTTAACGATCAAATACAAATACATTATTCTTCGTTTATGCTGTTAGGAAACTATGGAATTGATACAGATCAGTACATATGTTTTGGATGCAATGAAGTTATAGAAAAATCCGACGCTCAAAATCATTGCAAAACAAAGACCCACGTAGACAAAATGTTGGCCTGTCATGTTATGACTGACTATGATGAAAAGTCAGAATTCATTCGATTGGTGAGTAAACATTCTTTAATTATTGCTAAGGATGGATCAAAAAAGAGAGACTACTTTTTTAATTCTTGAAAAGTTAAAGAATAATTCAAAATTTTATTGGTCTTCGTGATTATAAAATAGTTCATGTAAAGTATTAATAAGTATAAAATAATTTAAAAAAAAACAATAATAAAATCAAAACCTATTAAAGGCCCATTTAGATGGAGAAAGTTTGTCTTCTCTATAATATATATAAAAAAGTTTCTTCGTCTAAACATTCACACCAATGCTCTTCCACTTTTTCGGCGACAATTGCCTCGCAATAGAAAATTTATTATGTCCGTGTAAACAGAATTCCAAAAGCAATAATCGTTTACAATACCCTAGCAAACCTACATACTATCCTTGAATGAAACATCTCGCACTCAAAACGGTTCAAACCGATTTGTACGATACTGGTATCGTACCTTCGAGGCGAGAAACTCTCTCCATCTAAATGGGCCTTCACGCCGGTGCCAACAATACTTTATTATTTTAAATCTAGGTGCTCAATATACCATTGAAGTTATGGTTTACAGAAAGATATTTACATTATTCTGTATCGATTAGGCATTTTAAAATTGCAAACAAAACGTTAATTCTATTTTTATATCTTGTCTATTTTTACTACACCCTCGATGGTTGCCACTAATGGTTAAGATTGTTAAGCTTCTTCAGTAAAAAAATAACTTGTTATATACATACTTTTAAAACTAGACAAATGCAATTGAATATCTTTTTGTTTTAGATTCGTCCGAACGTATATCACTGTGCCGTTTGCGATCTGATATTACCATATTGGGATAATTTACGTGGACATATATCTGGACTTTCGCATGGTGCTCGTAGGCGTGTAAGCCTTCTACCTTGCAATGAAGCAAATATTTTACGGTCAATGCACGGTCCTACGTTAAATAGGAATAATAGTGTTAACATTCATCTGAAACGTCTAGGTCTCATTTAGAAATTTATGCAGAGTTAGCTTCAGAGACAAAACCTTTTTAGGAATCTATTTTTTATTTTCTATCTATTTGTATAAAACTGATTGGAACGTGACACGCGTGTAATTAAACCATTTTCTATCAATTGTTTCTAGCACCAAAATGATTTTGTCGGGAGGTCCTCCATAATGTACTCTACATGAAGCATCATTAAAAGTCGCTTTAACTATTGTTCTTAGGTCGTTATTGGAACATATCAATATACAAGGAGATTCATTAATTGGTTGTTTGTTGTATCATGTCATCAGAAATCTATCATTATAAACTCGTTTGAAAAACTATTACAACATATTTTACATACATACTTTATTTTTAAATGGTTTTTTATAACTTGCTGCAAGGCGTTAGGCGAGATTTATTTAGTAAAGCCAAGTCTGCCACTTGCAGCTGTACCATGTGGTTGACATAATATTTGCTCATATTGGTCAATAATCAATATATATATATTTGTATAGAATATCTCACAACACCGCTTGCGCCGTCATATAGGTATTTGTCAAACTCATGGTACAACTATTGCTAGTATTTTTGCAGGAATATAAGGAGAGCAAGTTAATAAAAATATTAGAATGAAAAATATTAATTTACAATTTATTTTAGATACAAGACTCATGACAATGTGTAATGTATTATTAATACTAATACCTACCTAGACTTCAGGGTTTACCTTACAGTAAAAATCCTTCAAATTGTTAAATTTTAGCAATAGCCTTTTTACAAGTTGTAATACAGTTTATGACCTAATCTAAATCCAAGTGTTTTTTTAATTACTAAGTTGTATATATTCTCATGTATTTATTCAAAGGAAAACTGTCTATACCTATATATACTATTACACTTTAAATGACATTAATATAATTAAACAAATATACAAAATACCTTAACATTCATTAAACCATTGAGGAAAATGTGAGAGTAACATAGTAAAATTCTTTGGAGAGGTATTATGCATTTCTTTTAGATATCCAACAGTTTTTCTTATATAATCTTGTTTAAAATCATCTGGTAGGTCTTGAATTTCTACATCTAGTAATATAACTATATGGATTAACCTTGTAGGGTACAAGCTGGAAAAATGATCTTTGCTTTTAGTTTTTATAATACATTTAAAATTATAAACTAAGTCTAATATCACTGAATCGTAGTTGGTAGAGGTTAATACTGAATTTAATATTGAACTGCAAATTTGAAAGCAATTTGGAACTTCAGCACTAGTACACAACAATCTTTGATATGTAATGTCGCTTAGTTCTAGGTTTAAGTCAAGACTTCTATTTTCAAGGACTTTAACACATAAGTTTAATAACATATTTTCTATCTCTGGTTTCATTTTTATAACAACATCTGAGCGGAGAATGTTCTGATCCCATAAATTATTCAATATTGTAGAACACCTTATATCACTTGTGTTCCAATTAATAATACTGTCTGATAAATTGTTAAAAATACTTGAATCTAAATTAAGTAAAGCCTGAACTAATTCTGGATTGATATCAATATTATAACATGATTTCATATCAGTATCTTTGCATGTTCTGATTAAAAAGGCACTTAACTTTTGGTCAATTTCACTCGTATTGTTTGAAAAAACGGCTTGTTTATAAACGTCTACAAGCGCTGCAGTATGGTTTTCGTGTATATTTAAATGGCCTTCAGGATGCACCTTGCATATTTTACGTATGTTTTCAAGCACTGACAGTCTTAAGTTTGTGTCCACAGTAGTGTTATGCTTTGAAGTTAAAACCTGAACGAAGCTTTTTGATAAAGCTTTCGTAACGGCTGGGTCTAATAAAGGGTCCTTGTAAGTAACTGCTGGGCAGGATTCATTAAAAGACTTGATAGCTTTCTCTATTAGTTGAGGATTCATTGTTATAATTAATTATATGTAGATCTGCTACAATACTGTACCATACCACCTTTTAAAAATAGAAAATGATAAGCAATTAGTAATTTAATAAATAAAAAATAATTAAAATTGCAGTAGTCTGGGTCTGGACTCTGGAGTCTTATCCTTGAAAGATGGAAAACGACGTTTGACAGAATCCGTCATTTTATAGAAAATCCACAGACAAAGATGAAATAAAAAATACTAGCCACAGATTAAAACAATGAGCGAAGTCCGCTAATGTAGATTTTTTGAAAATTTAGTGCCATCTAGTATCAAGTAGCAAAGATATTATGTTAACATCAATCGTAATAGAGGGGGTTACTATTTGCGATCAAATGAAACAAGTAAAAGTAAGCGGCAAGAAATGTTTAAGGAATAAAGCGATGGTTAAACCACTATAGATTAATACAAGATTAATTTGTTAATCTATTCAGTAATAAGTATTATTTTTATCTCCGTCCGGAATGATACCAGTTGAAGTATATACCCACTTGAGACTAACAAAAAATGTATATTAGGTATGTATTTTCTCGATTTTCATTAATTGATTTAACAATGAAATGCTATGTTTTATATGATTTAGAATTGGTAAATTGTTTTAGACAATATTACCTAAACGTACAAGGTACTTTCAAGATCGATATAAAATAGGTAACTTATCATATTACCTATTGCCTATTTTATAGTAGGTAATGATAGTATCAATTTGTATAACTACCTACTCCATTGGTTAAGATTAAAATACATAATGCTTAAATAATTTTATAAATGGCTTAGATAGAAATTTAAATTACAGTAGGTACCTATAGGTGATAATTTTATGTAAATGGTTTAATTAAAAAACATTATAGTTCCAGCTTTCATCATTGAATGTAAAAGGTGAGTACTAAAAATTAATTTATAGTTATAGAAGTACCTATTAAGGACCCCTTTACGCAATTTCTGCCTTTGTACGGACTATAAAATATTCCCACCGGCAATTTGGTGTTGAAATAATGAGCAATTCACATTTGCTCTAATGTTGCCGTCTTAAAAAATTCGAAATCACGAAAACGCAATAAAACATTAAATGTAATTCAAAATAGATGTAAGACGATAAGAAAGCTTCAAATGTTTGAATTAACATACAAATTCTGTATTATTGTAATGTCTTAATTAGTTTGAATTCGCACCGTTAGGCGGGAAATTAAAAAAAATAACCTCGATGATAATTCATAGTCTATGTTTCGAATGGACGTTTCGAAAGTGTGTGGGGCCCGCTTAATAAATTACCATCGGGACCTCACAAGAGGTACGCGAGAGGTCTAAATACGTGGGTTTCACCACGGCTGGCCCCGCCCTGACAGAGAGAGAAGATGCCACATAATTCGGAGCAATTTATGTGGAGATAAAATTGTTTGCTTAGTGATTTTTATTACGATACTAACTTTACGTAGATGTATGCGTTTTTAAAAGACATGTTTATTGTTTTTTTCTATTTCAATCAACATTTTTGAAACTAATGAAGATATCTTGAATTTTTAAATTATTATTCTTACAACGTTTTTCCGTTTTTCTGTTTTATAGTTTTTCAGAGTAGATTTATAAATAGGTGACATAAAGGTCTTTCTGAAAAACGTTATACATGTATGAGTTACCAAAACGTAACACAGGTGATTTAAAAAGTATGTATTTAAATTTATATATTCTGACAACGTATAATAAATGGCAATTTTAATCTTTCGGACGGCATAATTCTTCGCTAAACAGGTTTTGATCACCACGTCTGCTAATAAGATATTGACAAAAAGCTTTAATTTACCTCATGCACGATTACTACATAATATTAAACACGTTTATTACCCTTACAGGTAGTCTTATTCGAGATCGTAAGTAACGGAATATAATCATTAAGACATTAATCAATAAAAGTTCAACTAAAGTCGTGTAGGTCTTGAATCACACACTACACACTATATCTGACTGATGTGACCTGGCTTCAGTAAGAAGGTTCTAGAAAAACACTTAGAAAAAATAATAAAATCGTATTTTATCTAATAGGTATTCTCTTATCTCCAGGAGACTCCATAAATTATATTTCTGTTTCATAAAAGGAACGTAATTTAAATGAGCATAGAGTATTTTGGTTGATTAAAAATTTGGTTTTTTAGGAGACTCAGACTTCTGGGCCTGATTGATTCGTCAATATTGGTTTCAAGACATGACCTCACAATGTTTTCCTATAGAAAAAAACATCGCACACACAACCAGGAATCGAACGTACGGCCTAAATGTTAGAATAAATCGATGCATCTGTTGTTTTATCATTTTTAAATTTGAGAAATTATTTTGATATAACCTGACGTTAAATCGCGATTGCTTTAATTGAGTAGGTATGTAAATCCTTACGCGGACAATACGGAAGCAATAACAACTAAATCTGGATAAGAAAACTACCGATGTTCTTTAATAACTTTAAAGCTTTATCATATAGGTAAGTATGTTTTCATTTCAATTATTTTTTTATATATTAAATATTGTCTCCATCAAAGGTCGTCACAGACGAGATTTTTCCACATTAAACCAAAATTCAAGCGCAAGACTCTAATGGGCCGCGGAGCCCAAGCATCGCCTTTAGGTCGCATAGCATCGCCACACTTAACCCTTTAGTTCGCAGAACAAAAAATTCTCAAAATTCGTATTTTTTTCTATTTATACGCTTTATTTATGAGTTAAAACTATACAGAAAAATTACAAAAAAATATAGAATGTGCCTATTTCGAGAAAACATATGTCGTTAAAATACGACACTCGCATCCCTCTAAGATATAAATTGAATAATGTATGTCGTTGACAACCAACACTGCGGCATACTGTAGGAAATAAACCAAAAAGATAAAACACGTTTTTTTTGAAATATATTTTAATGTTCGTTTAACAAACTTAAGGAATGTTACTCACTAATATGGTAATTATAAAAACAATTTCTTTTGGCTACCAAACACAGTCTAAGGTTACATTTGTTACAAAGGATACTTGAGTATCCCTTTTTACAGTACTTGCACCTCCCTTGAGCTACAAAAGTCGGCAGGTGCCCTAAATTGTCGAACCGGACGGCATCAGGTGGTCTTGGAGCAGAAGGAAGTTTTATTTTCACAGCTGCATCATTTTCCTGTACATCTTCCTGATGAATTCTGTTTTTCTGCAATAGTTCTGTCACTAAATCTATCCTAAATTCTTTTAGAGACTTTGTTTTTTGTGTTTAGTGATTCTCTATATTGCAGCCATGCATTATTAACACAAATATCCAGAGCCTGTGAAAATAAAGCCATGTACCATCTTTTTGTCTTAAAATTGGAGCGATAAAAATATCAGCATGTCTGATAGATCCACCCCGCCCATGTGAGCGTTGTAATGCTTCACTATTTGTGGGCACTCTACATCAACTTTAGATTTAGTTTCCTTGCAATACCGCTTTATCTTTTCTTTTGGATGTGAATCAACATACGAACTTGCTAATGTCACTACTTTATTGTCAAACCACTTGACTACGGCAATTTTATTGGCATTGCACACAATCTGTTGATTTGCGCCTCTTCCTTTTTGCCAGTACCTTGTCTGATGACAAAATGGTTTGACATCCTCAAACGATTATTCTTTATCGTCCCTAAGCTAAACAGGCCATATTCGTTTCGTAAATGTTGAATAAGTTCTAGCGACGTAAAAAAATTATCAAAATAAACCGTTGAAGGCTTTTCTTTAATGGTCTTACAGAGTGCTATAACGACCTTAGCACCAAGACCCAAACTATTCTCATACTCTGTAAAACATCTCCCCCTGAAAGTATCCTCACCGCCGTAAGGGAGGAAATCATATATTAAGCCGGATACTCCTGCTCTTACAAAGATTTTAAAGCCCCATTTTTTTGGCTTTTTTGGCAAATATTGGCGTCTACTTCCTGCTCTTGTGCCTTTGTAGGGCACCATCATTTCATCGACACTGTATTTTTTTTCTTCCTCAAGCTGTAAACAGTTATTGCGAACACATTCCAAAATTGGTCTAACTTTGAAATACCGGTCGTCATTTGTGTCTGTGTTGTCTACAAAATGAAGATATCGTCGTATTTTTCTATTTTTAAAGTCATTATATTAGCCACAAGGGGATATCTCAACGCATTACTCCAATAGTCTCTGTAACTTGGCATTTGTACTACACCCATCAGCAAAGTTATGGCGATAAAATCTCTAATGTCATCATAGTAATGTTGATACTCGGGCTGCTCCACTTTGAACTGAATACAAATTAGTGTTATCTGTAATTAACTTGAAAATATTTTCTGAAAAAAAGGCGTTAAAGTAATCTAAGGGTGACTTTACGGTTGCTTCGACTGGTGGTACATACGACGGTAATTCGATGATAGCTGAATGCTGAAATTTATTGCGTTTCCACTTAAATATTAAGGGTTTCCTTACAAACTTCTTTACTCGTTTTGAGACAACTCTAGACACTGCGTTTGTCTTTCTTTTAGAACGAGTTGTTGCAGCCGGGGAATTAATAAGTGGAGATAGCACTGATGAAACTGAATTCAATAGAGGTAATTGCTCCTGTGGCCTACCACTGGGAAACATTTTGTTTATTACGGGTGACAATGAAACGGTTTCTTCATCTGACAATACTATTGGTGCATGAGGAGATGGTATGTTTTCTATGTCTTCGTCATCGGAAGTCAAAATATTCATACGGTCCAAGGAAGAGGGATAAGACTGTGGATCGAACTGCAATAGGTTACATCATCATCATCATAATTTCTTTTTGAAGGAGATTCTCATCGTCAGAGCCACTCTATCCGACGACGGTGCCTTTTCTGGTGGTACTAGCGCCATTATAGCTCTCGTACGTTGCCATTTTGGTTTTATCTGGAGCAAACAAAATCAAACCATACCAAACTACACCCAAAGCAACGCAAAAAATAAACATGCTAAACCGTTCACCACACATAA